AATCAACAAGCATTAGCACTGGGTCTCATGCCCACCGTCATTATTTGGGTCATGAGATGTGTGCAGATGAATGAAAGGAGCAAGACAGATAAAAAAATAGTAGCAAGAAGCCTTAACAACATTAGATGAATTATAAAGGAGGGGTAGAATATAGCCCCTGTGTGTAGCTCTATAGCAGGCATCAGATCACTGTTTTAAGTGTCATGAAATATGCATAGAAGTTTGGACCTCAATAAGCCCATTGATGGAGCTGCATGACAGAGCTCACTCTCTTGCAATTTCCTCAAACTCCTTGGCTGTGTTTTACCATGAGGGCCCCCTGGTGCAGCTCCTTGAAAGGGCTAACAAAGAGTTTTATGTGGTTCACACACTTATCTCTGACTTTGCTGGAATTACATTCACTCTCATATCGAATAGGAGACTTCATGGAGCTGGATTTGATATAGGACATTTTAAATGAATCAATTCATAAGTATCAATTTCTGACTCTCATTCTCTCTTTCTAGAAATGTTTCAAGTCACATTTTACCCCAAAAATAAAAACCAAGTATAAATGTAATAATTATATTTTTTAAAATGTATTTACTTAAAGGGATACTCCACTTTTTTTTTTTTTTTTTTGGAAATAGGCTCATTTTAAAACTCCCTCAGGGTTAAACATTTGGGTTTTACCGTTTTCGAATCCATTCAGCCGATTTTCTGATATTTAGAAGAATATCAGTAACCAGACAGTTTCTGGTCTCACTGACTTCCATAGTAGGAAAAAAAAAAATACTATGGAAGTCAATGAGACCAGAAACTCTCTGGTTACTGATATTCTTCAAAATATCAGAAAATCGGCTGAATGGATTCGAAAACGGTAAAAACTCAACTGTTTAACTCTGGGGGAGATGTAAAATGAGCCTAGAGTATTTCCAAAAAAAAAAGTGGAGTATCTCTTTAAGTTCACCACCAATGTTTTGGGTGGTTGCAACACCCTGGCAACCACCCAAAACACTGTAGCTGTGATTTTGCTGGAGTGACAATCGCTCTCATCTCGATCAGAGAAATGTTTCAAGTCATATTTCACCAAAATACAATACAAATATATTGGTACTGTTGTAGTTGTTAATACACTTTGATAATAAGTCACTATAGATTTAACATTTATTTATTTGCAAAAATGTAGTGAAAAAGTCAGTTTTAAGACTATTTAGATGCTTGTATGACATATATATATGTGTGTGTGTCCATTCTTCACAACATTCTCTTCCACACACACCATCACCCAATCACTGGCTCGTTCTCCTCTCTTCCCGCCCCCTGTTGCTATGGAGACTCAGGAAGTCTTCCAGGTGCCTCAGTGGTTGGGAAATGCAGAAACTTCTCCTCGTTCTGTCTGTTCTCACTCACATCTTTATTTTTCCTCTTCCCAGCCTCTTCATCCTCTTCTCCTGCTTACTGTCATTTCATTTATCCTGCTTGTCATATTTCCATTTTCCTTGTACAGTCCTCTTCTCTGTTTATCTGTGTATCTTGATTTTCTGTCCCCTCCTTTTTTTTTTGCATAAAAAGAGGTCTCTAAGAATGAACTTATTTAAATAAAACATATATTAAAAACATTAATTTACAAACAATTTAAAATAGTTTTTTTCTATATTAATATATTCAAAATACCAATTATTCCTGTGATGCAAGCTAATATATGTACATTTTAGGTTCCAAGTATGTACATTTTAAGTACTAATATGTACATTTTAGGTGCTAATGTACATTTTAGGTGTTAATATGTACATTTTAGGTGCTAATATGTACAACTTAAGTACTAATATTTACATTTTAGGTGCTAATATGTACATTTTAAGTGTTAATATGTAAATTTTAGGTGCTGATATGTACACTTTAGGTGCTAATATGTACATCTTAAGTACTAATATGTACATTTAGGTGCTAATATGTACATTTTAAGTGTTAATATGTACATTTTAGGGGCTGATATGTACATTTTAGGTGCTAATATGTCCATTTCAGGAGCTAATATATACATTTTAGGTGCTAATGTGTACCACTAAGGTACCAATATGCAGCCTTTGGGTACAAAAGTGTATACCTTTTGAAAAGGTACAGCCCCAGTGACAGCTTTTGTACCTTTTTTTCTGAGAGTGTAGTGTAAATTATAAACAAGATCTGCTGACTGTTTAAAAATAACATAGACATTCTGTTGCTCTATGGTTGATAGTCACTCAGATAATCTGCAAAAAGCACAAATGATGCGTTATTATTATCATTATTATAAGTTCAGGGTCTGGGCAAACAAAAGATGTTTTACATCTGTGAGACGTGATCTGTTTTTAGCCTCCAATTCTTCATGCCATCTGACCCAGATCCTCACAACCCTATTAGTGTGCACCAATGACCCCTACATATGTGTTTGATGCCCTTAATTACAGATTCAGACTCCGATTTCCATTACTCACTGCCATGGATTCATGCTAATGCACAACCAAGAGGGTTCTGGGGGAGATTTTTCAACAGGACCGGCTGTGAGAAACAGTGAGAGACACTGCACATCTGGTGTGTCCCGGCTCCACAGCCTGACCTCGTTGTACCTGGAGAACATACATTCTGACAGGCCTTGTGGGAAAGACATTAAAAGCCTATTAGAAGAAATAGAGCCTCCAAACTCTGTTTCGTGGCCCTTTTGTTTTTAGAACTAAAGATTCTAAATGTAAAGAATCTGAATTTTCTCATTTTAAAGATTCAAAGATTTAAGTTGGTTGGTGAGTTCACAAGATGTAAAATAAGTCTCTGATGTCCCCTGGGTGTGTTTGTGAAGCTTTATCACAACATACCCCCCAGATATTTTTTATATAGCATGTTGAAGTTGTCATTTTTTGAGGGTTTGCAAAAACGCACCGTTTTGTGCTTGGCCCTTTAAATGGAAATGAGCTGCAGCAGAGGGCGGGGTTTCAAGATGCAATGATTGGACTTTTTTTTGGTCCTGAGACTTCCACAGAAGATATATGTACAATGTTTTAATATTTAGACCACTTCTATTATTGATCACTATCAAACAAAAAGTGTTCATGAAAAAAATGGCATACTCTCCCATTAACTTTGGAAGAGTTGTGCATTTTTTTGAATGAAATTTTTTTTTTACTACAGATTTTAAAAGTTCTAAATCTTAAGACTATAAAGAAACTATTTAAAGAGGTATTACATCTAAATAGTCAAAATTAACACTGCAGGAAACAAGTGAACTTATGAAAAATCTGGAATTAAACTAGCATCCCCACTGAATTTATTATAGTATTTTTTTTTTTTTTTTTAACCTCGTAATCTTTGCCTAATATTTTTGTTCTTATTCTTATAATGGTCAGAAATTTGGTTCCCACAACATCTCCCAGTTGTAAATGTTTCCTACTAATGAGCCCAGCCCACCGGGAGTTTCAGCCAGAGCTCTTCCAGGGTCACATTTGCATGAGAGCAGCTCATGTTGAATCTTTCAGCTTCTGTTGATGGTTTCCAGTAGTTGTTTTCAATTCTTAGAGCAGAGATTTACATGTGTTCGTGGGATCCTTAGAAATAATCTACAGCTGTTTGTACTTCAAATCCCCAAAAGGCAAAAATAAATAAATAAATAAATAAAAAAAAATGTGGAAAGTGGCGGAAAATGAAGCGAAAACAAAATGATTGGGTTTTCAGGAAACATAAGCTCAGGATTTTAAACAGAGATCATGACATTTTTCACTATGCATAGAAAGGAGAATGTGGATTTTTCCCTGTTAGGTCAAATCAAAACACTTTGTTTGCTCTTAAAAGTAAAGCTTCTTTATTGGCATTGATGGTTCCATTAAGAATGTTTAACATTCACTGAACCTTTCCATTCCACAACAGGTTATAGTGGAAAAAGGTTCTTCAGATTATTAAAATGTTCTTCAAAAATGATTCTTTTAAGAACTGTTCACTGAAAAGTTCTTTGAGGAACCATAAATCTAAAACTCGGTGGAAGCTTGTTTCTGGAAAAGAATGTAAAATAAAAAAGGTAATTGCGACTTTCTACAGTATCTCACAATTCGGACTTTTTTTCTCACAATTGCAAGTTTACATCTTTTTTTTGCGTGTCTTTATAACAATTGCATGTTATAAAGTCAGAATTGCGAGATATAAAGTCAGAATTGCGAGATATAAAGTAAGAATTGCGTGATATAAAGTCGCAATTGCGTGTTATAAAGTCAGAATTGCGAGATATAAAGTAAGAATTGCGAGATATAAAGTCAGAATTGCGAGATATAAAGTCAGAATTGCGAGATATAAAGTAAGAATTGCGTGATATAAAGTCGCAATTGCGTGTTATAAAGTCAGAATTGCGAGATATAAAGTAAGAATTGCGAGATATAAAGTAAGAATTGCGTGATATAAAGTCGCAATTGCGTGTTATAAAGTCAGAAATATGAGATTTAAACTATTCTGAGGGGGAAAAAAGCTAGTCTTTTTTTCCCCTTAGAATTAGCCTGATAAGTCGCAATTGCGAGTTTATATCTCACAATTCTGAAAAAAGATGTCATAATTTTGACATATAAACTCGCAATTATGTGTTATAAAGTCAGAATTGCGAGATATAAAGTCAAAATTGTGAGATGTAAACTCACAATTGTGAGAAAAAAAGTCAGAATTGTGAGATAATTGTGAGATAAGAAAGTCGCAATTCTGTCTTTTTTCTCAAAATTGCGACTTTATATCTTGCAATTCTGACTTTATATCTCACAATTGTGAGATAAAAAGTCGCAATTATTTTTTTATTTTTTTTATTCAGTGACGGAAACGAGCTTCCATAAAACTCTGATTCAACAGGTAATTTGTTAAATCGTTAAAAAAAATTCTCCATGTGGCATTTTTCATAACAATTTTTCTAAATAGTCCTCTTTTGCACTATTGATAGTATCTTTATGAGTTCATTATGTGGTGTCTATTATCATAGTTTGTCGTTTACATGTTGTGTTTCTTGCGTTTTCCCACAGATGCAGATTCTTGACAAGTTCCCAATCGAGGGAGGGCAGAAAGATCCCAAAAAACGGATTATCCCTTTTCTTCCAGGTGATTTTGGGAGGAATTCTTTCTCTCCTCTGCACACACACACACACACACACACACACACACAGACCTGCAAATACATGGTGTCAGCAGATCTGTCCACAATAAGTCATGGTTATGCTGGGACAGGGTCGTGCTTCTGTTCTTGACTTACACACACACACACGCATGCTGGAAACAGGCTCACGAGTCATTGAGATGAGCAGCACCGTTCCCCGAGAACAAGAGCCATCAATAAGAAGAAAAAGAGGAGAGCGAGACGGAGACACAGAGAGATCGAGACACGTTTTTCCTTGCTGACGTGGCTGAAATCTATTGTCATCCAGCAGTCCCTCTGATGTTCTCTGTTTGTTCTCACATCCTTCAGTATGAACACACAAACTCAGATTATCACAGGCTCCATTGGATGCAATGTTATTGGTTGGATTACTATAATATTAAGTAGATTATAAAACCACTTGCAGCCGCTGTATTATGGTATTAAGTGTCAAACCATTAAATCCATGCACTGTCTCCATTTAATTCCAGTCTGATTATTGGACTCCACTGGGACCGTAAAGAGGGACCGATTAGATTTTTATCGTCACACGTATTTCATTTCGTATTGATTTTCTTTTGTTAAAAGGCGTATTGGTTTTTTTTTTTTTTACCTAAGGATATATATCAACTTCAATAATAAAATATTTGCGATAATGCTTTGAATTCTTCAGGTCTTTACGTCAGTGTTTTGTTTTTTTGAGGAAGCAGTTTGAGCTCATATAATAGAATATGAGAATGAACAGATGAAGGTGAATATACAGTTGCTTTATAAATGTTTGTTTCATAAGAAATTCATTCTGCACGTTGCTGCCGGCGTATCTCTCAGTTTTTACTTGAGAATAAACAGCTTGAGACCGGAGAGCATGACAGCTGGAGTTTGGTGCTACGTGGTGATCTTATCTCCTCCAAACGTCTGAACCTGATTAAGATGTTCTAGATCTCAAGAAGAACACATGGCGTCTCTCTTCAGTAGCTGCTCATGTTTCTGAACACTGTCTGAAAATGCTCTGGGCTTTGCTTACAGTGAGCAGGGCTCAACTATGAAGATTTTTTATTTTTTGCCCTGTTAATATTTTCACTGGCTTGATAAAGTTGCATATTTTTATTTGGGCATATTTGTGTGTATATCCTTTTATGTCATATTTTACATTTTACATTCAAAAAGCAGTAATGTTATTTTATGACAGAATCAAATTATTTCTGGAAAGCAGTGGAATAGAATGCAACAGATTTGTGGATAATTTTCCAATGCATTCTAACTGCTTTCCAAAATGTATTTCAAATTATTCTTCCAATATCAACACATTTCTAGAAGCTAGATAATTTGACCTTGGTGGCATATGTAAATGAGCAACATTTTTAAATGCATCATTGAATATTTCATTTAAAGTTTAAAAAAATGATACAAATAAGTAGACATGATCTTGAGAAGTAGACCACATATTTGACTCTTCCTTTTATTTTAAAGGCAAAATCCTATTCCGACGAAGTCATGTGAGAGACGTGGCCATGAAAAGACTACGCTTTATTGACGACTATTGCAGAGTAAGTTGCTTGTCCTCATTTATTTTCTAATCAAATATGTGTAAGCTGTTACTTTGTGTAGAAAATCATTAAGAGAGAGGTTCTTTATAATCATTTTCCTTTGACAATGATGTGTGTCACATGTTGTCATGGGGAAGTGTTGCTCACACCCATGTGTGTGTGTTCAGCATGATGTTAAAAACATCATTAAAGGTGTGGCTATGGCATTGGCGTTCCACAGGGTCCAGTGTTAAGCCCCTTTTTGTTCTGCACTGATATTCTTTGGACTACATTCCTGCTGTTCAAAGAAGAATTACCTAAAATAAACCATTTAAAATCAATTCAATTAGGATATGTACTTTTTTATCTTTTATTTATTAGCTGCAGAAACGTTATTTTATTTAAAAAATATATATATATATTTTATATATATATACAATGTATTTTAGGGTGGTCAACTTTTGTAATTAAGCTCTTTTAATTTTCTTTTAAAAGCAGTTATATGGCTTTCTAATATGCATACACTGACCAACTTGTTTAAAGGGATAGTTCACTTTGAAATTATTTTTCGGTATGTGATCGCTTACCTCAAGGGCATCCAAGATGTAGGTGTCTTTGTTTCCGCAGTAGTTTCAATTTTGATATTTTTAGGTCAAACCGTTCTTGTCTGCCAGTCATATAATGGAGGTCTATGGTCACCACCTCAAAGAGCATGCACAGAGAAGTCCAAATTAAACATGATTTAATGACTCGTAAATGTAAGTACACATTGATGGCCTAAGACACGAAACGAGCGGTTTGTGTGAGAAAACGAACAGTATTTATATCGTTTTTACCTCTTCTAACCACAGCCACGTCCAAGTGGTACTGCGCTTCGGTCTGAAGCTGATCTAGGAAGTGATATTAATTTCAAAGTGAACTATCCCTTTAATAAATTACATCTAAATTTGTATAAAACACATTGTATTGAAACTACTTTGAACCTTTAAGGCCCATTGGCCTTTTGTCTAGACTTCCTCTATAGGTTTCAAACCTTAAATAGTGTTGTCAGATCCCCAAATGTCACCCTAAGCAATGGTGCTGCATTTGCATGTTCCACGTCAGGTTTTGAGTGTGAATTTGCCTCATTATCAGAGAATATCTGCCATCTTGTTGAAATATGATAATGCTATTACACCAAACAGACACTTGCTCTTATTCGTATCCGCTGTCATGTTTACTTTGCAATAGCTATAGGTTACTGAATAACACCCTTAAGATTAGTTTGTGGGATTTTAACGACTCGTTCCTTCCTCCTCTCTATTTCTCCCTCTCTTTATCTTTTGCCTTCATGTGTCTTGTCTCTTTTCCTTTCCTTCCCCCTCCTTCCTGATGGAATAGAGCCAACTTTTTAAAAACAATCCATTGCACACACACAAAGTGGATGTAAACACACACACACACACACAAGTGGAGAGCAGCTGTTAAACTGAGCTGAGATAGTGAGATAGTGAGATTATGGGATGTCTTGGAAAGACTGCTGTTGTGACAACAATCCCCATGACGTTCACACAAAGGACATTCAAAATACACGTCTAAAAACTTAATCTTAATGTAAATGTGTCCTTCAGGTGCCCATTTATAATGGCAATCGATTAAAAGATTAATACAATCAATTTCTAATTAGCTGCATGTAAATATTTGAATAGAAATGCCCCTAAATAAAGGCAACTCAAAGACTTTGTTTATAAAGACTGAATAAAAAAAAAAAGACAAGAAGGTGGCGTTTTTGGTCATGGCGTTTACTTTATGAACGGTTCAGGGGACAATTGTGAATGCAATTTTCTAGTCAAACTAAATTAAAGGACTAAATTGACAGCCCTAGTTAAACATTTATTTAAGTCAACCTTTAATTATGTGACAGTTGCTTATATGACAATTTGATAACTAACTTCCTGCAGATTTCCTCTGTCCTTTCAGTGTAGAACGCACCAACATCCCTCCATGAGAAAGAGAGAGAGAGAAAAAGAGAAGGGGATGTGTCTTTGAAGGGCTTAAACGTAGGATGTTTACCAGCTATTTCCTGAAAGCTTTAATTAGATCTCCATTTAATTGCATTGTGCTCTTCAAAAATAAATAAACAACAGTATTTACTCCAGGGATTCTTCAGAGGAGTTCTCTCTCTCTCTCTCGCTCTCTCTTTCCTTTTTATCTTCCTATGTTCTTTCACTAATTTTCAAATCATGTTTGAGAGCTTTGAAAGCAGTTGGAACACAAAGTGAATTTGTTAGACATTTATGCAGTTTGTTGAAGCAAAATGGCGTCTTTAGAATGCCAAAGACACTAAAATCAATAGTTTTCTAGTTTTGTTTTAGTTAAAAAAAACTTCTTGAGGTTTATTACATTTACATTTACACCTTGTCTGTGGTGATGTTTTAATTTGCTTAATTAAAAAGATTTTGGTAGCACTTTACTTGAAGGGGTGTTCATAAGACTAACATGACACCTTCATAACCATGACATGACATATGTCTTGAATATGAAGGAAGTTTTATGCATGTTTGTGAAAACTGTCATTAAGTGTCATTTGCTCAGTTATGACATTTTTAATGCAAATATGACATTGTTTGAGATGTCTTTTTTGACACCTTGACGGGTACAACATAACCCGTTAGTGTCTTTGTCATGAATAATAAATTCACCATTTGTGTTGAGGCAATAAGTTATAACACGCATGCGTGTTCTTTGTATGTGTTTCTTAGAGGTTGAATTCATATCAAAATCTGTCAAACTTCCCATACTACTTCTGAATAGGATCTCTACTTCATAAATTGTGTGAAAATTGTAAAAATGATGGTTCAGATCACTCAAAACACATGTGGAAGTGGAGGCGCCCTTAGATGGGCAGTAATGGAGTCTGGTTGTGCCCTAGTGGACGCGTTTAAAACTGCGCCCAAACAAAATCTCACTGAAAGCTAATTTTTTGAGATATCAACCTAAAATTTTAAACACAACTTGTTCAGATTTTTGGCTTTGATTTTTCGTCAGTTTTAGAGTAGCCTAGGTTTTGAAATATATATTTTATATAAAATATATACATTTCCATAAACTCAAACTTCTATAACTTTTTTTCTGTTTCACTTTCTTAATTTATTTCACTTGGACAAAAATCTGCCAAATGTCTTCTTTAAAACGAGACCAATCTTATGTCTATATTCCAAAGAATTCTTGAATTACAACCATTTACCTAAGTTTGAAATGTGCATTTCCATGTCTATTCAAAAAATGGGGTGACAGTTATTTGCATTCAAAATGTCATTATTGAGCGAAAGACACTTAATGACAGTTGTCATAAACATGCATAAACCCTACTTCATATTCAAGACATATTCAAGTCTTATGCAAACCCCTTCAGGTAAAGTGTTGAGATTTCTAGACATCCGATCTAAGGAAAGAACATTTGGTATAGTTGTGGATTCATTAGTCTGCTGTGTTTCTGTGTGGTTGTCTTAATGTTTTGTTTGTCCGGTTTCATGTTCTTTCTGTCTCGTCAGGCGCTGGTCCGGCTTCCACCCCAGATTTCGCAAAGCGAGGATGTTCTCCGCTTCTTCGAGACCAAACCAGATGATATCAGCCCTCCTGTAGAGTGAGTGTCACACAGACCTTCACAAACCAATGTGTCCACACAAGAGAAATATGAATGAAGCCAAATATGAATCAAGTAAAGTGTTGCGTAGTTCTTAATGCACACTGCGCTATACCATATACTGAATGCTATTTTTTAAAGTCCCACTGTAGTCTATAATTGTATCCCTTAAAACTCATTTTCATCACCAAAATGACATATTTAAATGTTTTTCCTGCAAAAAAATGATTCAGGCCTTTAACCCTCTGGGGTTGTTCGGCCCAAATGGACCCGAATAATTTAAAAATATATATATATTTTTTTTAAATCACAGCTTTCTCGGAATGGTCCGAAATTTGTTGACTTTGTTTGTATTTGGTATTTGAACGCCCAAAAAAAATGGGGACAGGATGTGAATAGTGATCGGTGATCGGGACCAAATGGACCCGCATGGAAAATGAATGGGAAATTGGCAAAAAATGTGAAATACTGAGCTTTTTTGTGCGTACAATCTACAAATCAGCCACGATCTTGAAAAAAAGCACACAACAGTGAAGGGGTCAATCTATAAAACATCAAGAGTGCAAAACAGACACATCCAGACACGCACACACAAACACACTTTTATACACAAACACACCAAAAATGCAGATTATACATGTGTTTTGCATTTTTAAAATGCTCAGTTTGTCCACCAGATGGCATCCATCTCATTTCAAAAATTGCTTTTATGAGGCCTAGGCTTGACTCTAAAATGAAATACAGCTTTAAAAAAAAATATATATATATTTTCTATTATGTTCAATGGGGGAAATTTTGTTATAATTATTGCATGAATAATAATTATATATTTTTTTTCTTTTTTGAAAATTTCTCAAAACACCAAAATAGAAAAGAAAAAATATTATAAAAACGAGTAAAAAAAAAATAAATTTTTTTTAAATATGAATCCCGCCCTTTGGGTCCATTTGGACCCGAACACCCCGAGTGTGACTCTGAAACGAACAACCCCAGAGGGTTAAATAGCTTGAATGTTACACCCTTGCTTTATTTAGTAAACGCGGATATTCTTTATAATTAATTACCAAACGTCATACCTTTGTTTTATCTAAATTCAAAGATAATTTATTAATATCCATCCATATTTTTAGTTTAGTAATTTATAATTTTTTTTTCTTTATTTTCTTTATAAGTGTATTAGCTATAGCGGGAGGGGGAAACCGGAAAAGCTACAGTCCTAAAATGATGTATAATCTGACCAATCACAAAAAAGGCTTTTGGCTAAATTAGAAATGAGGCCTGATGTCCAAAATTCAGAAAAACCCTTTTAAAAACACCACATAGACATATAAACAACATTAAAAGCTTGATTTTCACCATGGGGGACTTTAAAATAGTACTATTTTATTTATTATGGTACTGTGGGATACAGTACTCCACGCGCGATTTTGTTTGAATTATCTGGGCATTCAATGTGCCGATGACATGCTGCATACTGTGCTAAAAAAATGGACACATGATTTCTCACACTCCCACACACTCTGCAAGGTGTTGTGTAAATCTTAAAGCCGACTGCTGTATTTATATAGTTTTCTTTGATTAGCTCTGTAAAAATGTTCATAATTTGGCTGTCAAGAATGTCGCATCTTCATTGTAAGAGAATCTGTGTGGGTTTCAGGAGAGGTGCAAATGTGTTTCTATGTGTGAAAGAGGAAAAGACAGAGATTTTCTTCATTCTCCAGCTTTAAGTTACTCCCATCCCGACAGATTTTAATCACAGCGATGCAATGGTATTGTTTAATTAACACTGATGTGGATATGCACAGTCCTCTGTGAGTGTGTATGTGAACGTCTTTCCCTAGGCTGGTCCATAATTAGCTCCTGTAAATCCCATGAAAATTCGAGCCAAAAGAATTAACCTACAAAAAATGAATAGAGAAGGAGGCGCCCATCATTTGTTATTTACACTAGCATTCAAATGTTTGGGGTCAGTAAGATTTTTTTAAAGGGATGTTTCATTCAAAAACGTTTTTTTTCCATCATTCAAAAGTAATCAAAAAATTACAAAAATCCATCGTAATCAAAAGTGACAGTCGTGACATATAATGTTACAAACAAATCTATTTCAAATAAGTTGTTCCAATCCTTTTAAAAATGTATCATGATTTCCACATAAATATTAAAGGTCCAATATGTAAGAATTTTGTAATAAAATATCCAAAAATCACTTGCATAGTGTGATATATTTCCTGCAGTTGTGTATTTACAATATCTCAATAGTCTCCAACGTTCTTTTATTTCAGAGAAATGTAAATATTAAATAAGTGGCCGTCCCGAAAAAAAAAATGTCGCCTGTCAATGACGCAATATCCGCGCTATCCTCGGTTTCCGCTCGTATTGCCATAGCCGTGACGTAACCATGGCGACAGACGTGGACAACTGCGTAGTGAGTAACGTTTAGCGGCGCGCAGTTCTTGTTTCGTTCATTGACCATGGCAAGCAGACTTTGGGACAAACAAGGAGAACTAGAATGAGGATCAATATCAGCGTGACGTTTTTGAGATGCCGATAGCTAGCGTCTGAGATTGACTTCTACTCGACAGAGAGCTAGTGTCCGTGATTAATTTGGACTTGACAAAACTTCACAAGTCACGACTTTACAGCTTTATTAGACAGGTGAGCAAATGTACATAAAACAAATCAGTGTTATAACGTTAGCTTGACGTTTATAACGTTAAGTTTCATATAGCAAACGAACTAACACGTAGAATAACATTATAACTTTCAACACACATTTAAATGCCGTTTAGTGTGATAGTGTTACGTTAGACCAAGTGGAACATCGCTGCGTTTCCCTCACAAGTTTAATTCATCTAATAAACTGACCTGTGAGTAATCCAGCACTTGCGTGTACTTCAATAGGATGAAATTTCCTTATTCTTTTATATCCGCGGGACTCGCGTGTGATATCCGTCTCTTTAGCAATCGCGAACTGCTTCACTGTAACAGCAAGTTCCATCATTCAGCTCGTCACTGCATCACATACAGTACATTTGCCTTTGTTATTGTTAGAAACTGCGCCCTCTTGTGGCCAAAAAAGCTACAAATTGTAGCTTTCAACCAATTAACATTAAAGCTACACCGTGTGATTTTTACCCCCATCTAGCGGTGAAAAGGTATATGACCATCTAGTGAATATTAATTTCTGTTCCTCTCAATTCCGATTTCGTTTTAACTCGTTCGGTGGCCAATGTAGTCCAAGATTAACATGGCTTCCAGTTTGACCTCGTCCTTGATTGTTAACTCAAACGTAAACGCGAAAGGCGAAGCTTGAATTAACGGGTATGTCCCTCTTTGGCTAATGTACTTTCAAGATGGACGGGCAACATGGCGACCGACATTAGAACCCCTTACCCGTATGTGCATTTTCAATGGCATATTATACACTCACGATAATACTTTATTACTTGAACGAAGTAAATATACATTAATGAGCACATATATTTTTGAAAGAACTAAGTGTTTTTAGCTACGAATAAACTAAAAGAGTTACACAGTGTAGCTTTAACAGTTTTTAACATTGATACAAATAAAGACATTTCTTGAGAAATATATTCTAAAATATATTATAATAGAATGAATGGAAAGGTAATTACGACGTTTTATTTCACAATTCATAAACTAAGAATTCTGAGGGTTTTTTTTTTTTTTCCGAGATATAAACAAATCTTCCACTGCGGAATCAAGCGTCAACAGTAATTTATTGTAATACTTCGCAATATTAATGTTTTTGCTCTATTTTTGATCAAATAAATGCTGACTTCTTTTAAAAACATAATTTATTATTACGTATTATTCAATAAGTATTCAATACATTTTTCAATTAATTATTTATTTTCATTCATCCATTTTTAAATAATAAAAGGCACCGTAACCATAGTACAAATGACTTAGGCATTCAAGTTTTTCTTTTTCTTTTTGAGTGTGTTTAAATGGTAATTGTCAGTCTCTCACGCCGTTGGATTGTTTTTGTAATCTCGTGTAGGCAGCCTTTTTCGCTGTAGTAGTGGAACAAAACAAACAAAAAGAACATTAGCCTGTAACCATTTTACTTTCATCCTTGTGTCTTTTTCTTTTCTGTTTCTCTTGCACTTTTTTCTGTACTCGGAGCTGTCCGTCACATACTTCTTTCAAATTCCCTGCTTTTCTTTCCCTCAGTGTGAATTTCTCCCCAGTGATATGAAGTAGGCAATCTATTTTCATGTTCAAAACACATTCATCATATGCTGCAGTGGCTACACACAACCACGCACTGACACCAACACACACACACACACACTGCTCACTCTTTACAATCATAAAACACAACAACTTTGTTGTATCTGTCATCTACAGTGCATCCTTGAACACTCTCCGGATTTTATGTTTCTGCTCGTCTGTGGACAGTTATTTATATTATAACAGTCAAAGTCCATGACAGTAAATTATGAGTGTGTGTGCTTGTGTTTATGTGTGTGTGTGTAGTATAGGTGTCCTTGAATGCGTGTGTGCTCTATAGGTGGGCAAAAACATACCTTACACAATGTTATAATCAAGGACTTACATTTTAAATATACCGAAGCTGAATTTTCAGCAGTCTTCAGTGTCACATGATCCTTCAGAAATCATTCTACTGTGTTGATTTACTGCTCAAGAAACATTTCTTATTAATATGAATGTTAAAGGAGCTGTATGCAAAATTGTGGCCTGCAATCACTTTCAAATTAGGATGTATCCCCGCCTTCCTCATGACTCGAGGTTGCCAGATATGCTACAGGATCCAGTAGGAATGTAGGCTGCTAGAAACTTCCAATGGCAAGTGACGAGTCCTACACAGTGAGATTTTTCTGTTAATTATTTATTTCGGACTTATACAAAATACAAAGTATTTCGGATTCATATCGAGTTTTTTGGGGTTTCGCAAAGTTAGAATTTTTTTTTATCCGATTCCGACACGTTTGTATCTGCAGCTGTGGTAACTA